TTGCTTCATTAAACAGCATGTAGTTGTGATATAAATGCCTTGTTGTTTCTTCTGTAAGTTGTTCATTCCCTTAAAATTTTAAAGCACAGAGTATAATCTTGTTATTTCACGAATCCAGGTTACACGGTGTTGTGACTCTGCGCCCTGCTTTTAGATGTAAATGGCAGTAGTTTTCATACAGTCACGAATTATTTTGAACACTCGTTACGTAAACATTTTTAGATCAATTAACATTGAATCTGTATTTTTCCGTTCTGAAATGGCATCAAAAAACCATCTTTTCAGGCCTAAACATCGCTGAGACTCGGTTTATATGCAGTTGGAAATTAAGTACTTGGAGTTTTCGATGATTCGCGAATACCGTCTTTTAGTTTGTCAGGCGTAACGGAACAGTACTTAACAGGTCGGATTCGAACTTCGAAGGTGCCGAGTTCAATTCCTGTGGAGGACAATTTTTGTCTTAACTATCTTGAGCAAGTTACCGCACGTTGCTTGAGACCAAGAACCGTGATATTCCGAGTTTGACCCCAGCCAGAATTGCTCGTCTTTTTTCCTTCATAGGATGATAAATTAGTACCACTCTGGGAAAGAAACAGACCATACGCAAATCTTGTCACATATCTGCTTTTTAAAATAAGGCACTCCTGGTGATAACATGGAAATGTAGCTGTGTGGAATGAAATGACTTCGAAATGAAGTGATAACGTTCTCAGATGTAACTTCATGAAAAGGGCAGCAGCATGGCCGACATTCCAGTGTTTGCAATCTTTTTTTGTCTGGCACAGACTTTAATCAATGTGCTGTTTATTGTTGATGTTTCTTCTTGTGACGTCGATGTTTATCTGCGTCTATGTTGGCACTGAAGCCTGAAGACAGTTTTTCTGTCCCGCCTTAAATAGTTAGGTCGTTGCTGGTGTGAGGAAGCTCATCCAGTTTATACAGTCGCATCTGTTATACTGATTGACAAGACTACTGATAAATTTTTTCGCTCAGCACTACTTTAACTTTGTCTCAGAATAGGGTGGTGTTCGCCAGTTGAAGGAAAAATATGCTTTGATTCTATCACGCCTTCGGCAATCTCAGTTGAATTTTTATTATGCTTAATACGTGTGAATTCTATTTAGAGAATGAGTTTTTTGTATTTTACTGCTGATTTTTTCGCGTTATCGGTCAGAGTCTTATCTCTGTTTTTGAAATATTAGCGAGAGTATGTTGGCATTAAGGAAGCTGAGACTCTGAATGATAAGTTATCTTTGCATACCTGAACAAAAGGGTAATCTGTTAAAGTAATATCCAGTGGAAAAATCAACGGCAAATGACAATATGATGTATATTTTCGAACAGTGCTATTGAGCTGAATTTTCCCGATTTAAACATCGAATCGCGAGTGATTTTATTTCTCCATTCCTGACATCATTCATTCGGCATTGACCGGATGTTCCGTCCTTCTTATTCTATGATTGTCATTCTCCGTTAGAAGGTAGATGGTATGCCTTAATCTACGTTCCTGCCAAGCGATCGCTTCACCAGCACGCCCCAATCGATCATTGTTTCGAGGCGAGACCGTCTGTAATGGAAAGAACTATTTTTACGAAAAAGTTAAAGAAATCCTCCATCTGAACTTTAAGCAACACGAAGAGAGGCTCTTAATAGAATACTGGAACGCCCGAGCCCTGAATGGAGAAGGAGAACTGGATGACGTCGTTCGGACGTCGTTCGAAAGCCCGACTCACCGGTCAGAGACAAATCGATGTCAAGAAGAGATGAAAACTGTGGTGGTCCGGAATCGAAAAACTCCGTGCTGCTGGAATTGTCGTCCTGGCTTCTCCTGTTCCCTGGTCTGTTGGGTGTTTCCGATAAATTAATGACCTGCCTGTTAATTGAGAAGCACACTAAGCTTAGCATTTTGTTGCATACGTTCTTACACAGACCGCTCTTATGACTGTTTGTAAGCGGCTGTCGACCGACTGTCGTACCGACTGTAGCTTGACAGTTGTCGTCCGTTACCTCAGCCAGGTCGGCAGCGACCCCAGGTGCTGGGAAGGCACACCCGGTGTTGCATGTGACAGTGGAATGCGACTATTTGACTTTTATGCGTCAAATGGTTTCGTTGTCGGAAGTTCGGTATTTCCACAAATGGACCCAGCAGACCATTTAGACATCGCCGAATGGAACATGCCAGAACAAAGTCGACCACTTGTGGATTTGCCAAAAATGGCGTAACGCATTGCCCGATACTTGGATCAGACGTGCGCCTAAATTAGATCGGATCGCTTCGTGGTCGACGTTGACCTGTGGTTAAAGTCGACAGCTGCTGATTCGAAGAGAGTCCGCCGACATCTTGCCAAAGCGGTAAACAATAACTGTTGCCGAGGCAAAGAAGCCTGGCTGGATTTAGGATTCGGCGAATCAGAATTTGCTCATAGCAAAGATGAGTGGCGTATTGTTTGCCGGACGATACAGGCGTAATCTGGGCAAAAACCGCCTCAAGTTTTTCTCGTCTGTGACGTACAAGGCAACTCGCTGCCAGACCAGAGCAAGCACCGGAAACTCTAGGCCGAATATTTCGCAAGTCTGTTGAATTTGAGTGCCCCTGAAGAGCTGTTGAACATCGACAAGTGCCAGAATTCGCTGGATATATCCTCTGAGCACCCTACGCGGATGAAATATGTAGAGCCTTGAACAACCTGAAGGTGAGCAAGTTCTGCTGTATGATGCTATGCAGTCTAAAGGTCCTGAAGGACAAGTTTGAACGCCCTCTTACCAAAAATGAGGACATACTCTGGCATGGAAAGAGTGTCTTGAAGAAACTGTTATCCTGAACAACCCCAGAGAGACTCGCCTGAATGGAATCAAAGAGTGGATATTAATAGTTCGGTAGATGATTACACGAAAGCTGAAAACAATTTGAATAGTGGCAAGGCGGTTAAAATCGATGATATTCGCCCTGAGATGCTTATAACTTTGACAAATAAAGTCGCTGTGGCCTACACCAGTCTGCTAAATCGCAAAAATTACGAGTAAGACTAGTGGTTTTGTGAACCGTGGTGGTAGTGCTCCTGTTCAAGAATGTAGACCACAGGAGTGCTCCAGTTATCGCTGCATTACCTTATTGAACTTCCTGGGAATAGTCTACACAAAAGTGT